CTCCCAGGCAGGGCCTGGACCAGCAGCAGCAGGCAGAGCGGCACCAGGAAGCAGGCGGCGGGTACAGCCACCACGATGCTGCACACCAGCTAAGGAGCAGAGCTGCGGGACCGGCCTCCCAGGCCCTGCCCCTCACCCCCGCCTCGTCCCGCCCACAACCACCCTGTCCACCCGCTCCCTGCGCTCCAGCCGCGTAAACCGGTCCAAACCCCCCAACCGTGACCCTGCTGGATTCTTACCTCTTTGCAGGTCCTCCCAGCGCCCCCATCTCCTGGCCCACCCACCTCACCTAGTCCCAGATTGGTCTTCCCCAGCAGCTTCTCTCTCTAACCCCCGCCCCCATCATTGCTCCGCCCCCAGGACCCCCTTCGGCTGCCACAGCGCCCCCTAGCGCCCTACTCGGGCACAGCAGTCAGGCGGATACGCGGTGACCTTGTCTATGTAAGGGGTCTGTTGGGTCGGACGCAGCAAGAAGATCAGGCAGGTGGCCAGCACGGCGCCCGAGTAGAGGCACAGGGACACCACGAGCAGCATGAAGCAGCGGAAGTTGCGGTGCCCGATGCAGTTATTGACCCACTGGCAGTGATGGTCAAAATCCTGGGCGAGATCGGGGAGGGGCCGGCCTCTAGGTCCCGATCTCCGGCCCAGTCTCCGTTGACCCTAAATCTGAAGCCTTCCCTTCCCTCCCGAAGCCACTTGCCCTTGGCCCCACGCTCTGCCTTCTCCCTGCTCCCAAGGGAGCCACAAAGTCCTTAGCGCTGGCATTTCTGGGGTGTGGGCGCTATTGGGGCTGTGGCTCACCACGTGGCCTGTCAGGAGGCCTTGAGAAGCCAAGCCTGCCTGGTCTGTGGTGGGACACATGCTGGCAACTTCAGGCAGGACACAGTGTATCTCAGGGCATCTGTTTTCTCACCCACGGGAGGAGGATGAGAGCCTGGCCCAGCCCACCCTCCTAGGGTTGGAAGGACCACAGAAGACAGCACATCTGTAAACCTCTGTGGGCTGTGCAAGTGCGAAAGACAAGCACTCAGTTCAGGGTTTGAGCCAGTGTGAGTCTGAGGGCCTTGGGTATCTACTGTCAGCAAGCCCAGGGCAGCAGCGGGGGGAGTAGGACAGGGCTACGCTTCCTTCTCCCGGCCTGACCAGGCCAGCCTAGATGTGGGTGGCCCTGTGTATGTCAGCACCTGGGCAGGCACAGGCACAGGGGCGGGGACTGCATGACCCACCGAGATGGCTGGGAGTCACTGCCACCCTCGGCCGTTAGCAGTCCCGGAAGTTGTTTCATAGCTGCCACTGGCCCTTGTATGGGTGAGCCTCCTGGTGCACACCAGTGCTGGATGGGGGCAGGGGGCTGGCAGGTGGGCGAGCGAGAGGGGCACTCACCTCCACGCAGATGTTGCACAAGCGGCAGTGGTAGGTCCGGGGTGGGCGGTGGAAGCAGCACTGCCGGCACCACTGCAGGCGGAAGGCCTGGTGGTTCACCCAGATCACATGCACTGCCCGGGGACCCTGTTCGTTGGAGCCTGGCATGGGAAGAGGACTGGGCAGCACCAGGAGGCTCCTCCATCCGTCTGCTGCCGGTGGGGGGTTCCACCGTCTCGCTGGGCTCCAGCAACGGTGGGGGGGAGGTGGGCAGGGGAAACCCTAGTCCCCGCTGAGCGAGCTGAGCAAACTTGAAGAGGCTGGCAGCCAAAGGGAAAGATGGTTTTCGCCTGAGGAATTCTGCGAGAACTCGGGCCTTGGGAATGGTGACTGATGCTTTAAGGCTTTTGTTCAGTGGGAAGGAGGCAGAGAGAGTGGGAAGAGCTGGCTTCTCTGCCCGGCCTGGCCCAGCCCCCCCTCTCCCCTCCAAGGCAAAACCTCTAGAATTCTGTCTTTCCACACCTTGGGAAACGAAGTGCCAGAAGCAGGGCCCAAGCAGATGAGGACTTAGGGTGAAGGGGTCCTGAGGACACTTTAGGAATCCTGGGGGGGCTACCTCCTTCTCCAGGGGGCCCGGGTCTCACCTTGATGTAAGATGCCAGGGTCTGAGAAGTTGAGTGAAAGGAGACTGAAGAAGGTGAGGACAAAGAGGGGCCCCGTGATGATGGGAAAGGCCCACTCCCCGTTCTGGGCCAGCCACCTGCAACTGAGGCCAGAGCAGGACTCAGCCCTGCTCCGAAGCTCCTGCCAGGACCAGTTCACCGCTCAGGACCCGCAGGCCTTTCAGCTCCAAACATACGGCTTCTGACAGATCCACAGAGGCTCCACCAAACGCCCCCCAGGATTGCCAGCCACCTGCAGCCCCCACACACCAAATACCTCTACGTCTGTGCCTTTGCACATTGGAGTCCCCCTGCCTAGAATATCCTCCCTCCCCTGGCCCCTCTGCTGCACTTCCCCTGCCTCTGAGCTGTCATTTCCTTTCTCTCCTGCCAGTTGGCGCGGTAGACTCACGGGAATGCAAAGAAGAGGCCACTGAAAACCAGCAGCAGCACCACGTTGAAGGCCGCAAACAGGCTCGGGAGGATCCAGGGAAGCGGGGCCTGCGGTGGGGGACGGGGCTCCTTCACGAGGGGAATGGCATCGTTCCTGAGGGGCATGGCTGGACCTCCCGCGCCCCCAGGGGAGACCAGAGCCACCAGGCTCCCTCTCCCCTGCTGGCTCCAGGCGCCCCATGGCCACAGCAGCCTCGGAAGCCGCAGCTCAGGGTGGAAGGAAAAAAGTCCCAATGTGACATCACAGAGGCTGAGGAGAATGGGGGCCAGGGTTCTGTAGCAGAACTGCCCCCAGCCTGTGACGGTCACTGCCACCAGCAAGCCCGCCCCACTCCCACTTGTGCTGGGGACCGAGAGGCCCTGCCCTGCGAGGAGGTTCACTCCAAGATAACATGAGAGTAGAGACACACTTGGGGCGAAGGTGGGTGGTTCTAACCACCCTTTTAGCTTTGGCGCTAATTGAAGCAGTGCTCTGTGCTCACTCTATTGCCTTTTCCCCTTTTTGTTTATTATAAAATTCCACTCTGGGGGTGCGGGGCAGTTAAATAATTTTGCAGCTTCCCTCATTTCCATGGTTGGCTTCAGGACACAATTCTGGTCAGTGGGGCATAGGTGGGTGTGGGTTGAGAGTTTCTAGAAGAGCTTTTGCCTTCCTGATAAACGGGGGAAAGGACACGGTTGGCACAACTGTCCCTCTCTTCCCGTCTTGAACCTAGACCTGCTGGCTGGCACCTGAGGGTGCCACCTTGGACCCGTTAGGCCAGTGGTCGGCAAACCGCGGCTCGCGAACCACATGCGGCTCTTTGGCCCCTTGAGTGTGGCTCTTCCACAAAATACCACGTGCAGGTGCACACGTACAGTGCGATTGAAACTTCAAGGCCCATGCACAGAAGTCGGTTTTCAGCCTGGGCGAGTCTATTTTGAAGAAGTGGCGTTAGAAGAAGTGGGGGGGTGTCGGTGGGTCAGGCGATGGGAGACGCAGCACAGGAGGGCCGCGGGATACGCAGTGTGGGGGGAGGCACGCTCAATTCATGCATGAGTTGAGTGAGCCAGTCAGTCAGCAGTCTCATTGTGCAGTGGTTAGTGCTAGTCGCGTCTGCAAATTGCGCGCGGGTGACAAAAGTACCTACTTGAAGCATAAAGTTACCTGTATTTTTCCAACCAGCTGCAAATCCTACAGGTATTTTTGTCATCAGATTGAGGACGTTTTTAGCAAAGGCCAGCTTAGGAGTACCCTAATTAAGTTAATAACAATGTACCTACCTATATAGTTTAAGTTTAAAAAATTTGGCTCTCAAAAGAAATTTCAATCGTTGTACTGTTGATATTTGGCTCTGTTGACTAATGAGTTGGCCGACTACTGCGTTAGGCAATTAGCCAACATGCTACCCAGACAGAATGCCAGCGGTGACATTGTTGAATCGCTTCCCCAGCCTTGAACTGCCTACATCTGAGCTGCTTATTGTGTAAGGAAAGTAACTGGGTTTTCTATTACCTGCGGCTGACATTGGTCATTTCTTTTAGCCACTGAGCATCTGAATTCCTGTGTGTTTGCAGGATTCCCTGCCCTGCGAGTCTTGGTGAAGGGCAAAGACCGTTTCCTTGTCCCCGTTGGAGCTGAAAATGCCAGACACACATTCAAAGCCTCGCTTGCAGCCAGCACTCAGGCCTGTGACCCAGGCGCCACCAGTCGCCTCAGAATGGCTACCACAGAGGCTGCTGAGACGCAGCAGCTGCACGTGTCAGAGCTGCCGAGTGCCGACGGGTAATGGCCATTTTGAATGTCACTTTAATGTCACTCAGCAGAGATTATATTATTCTTAAACATGAATAAAATTTATAATTCCAAGATTCCTGTTTTGAATTGGACTAAATGAACTGGGACATTTTGAGAGAATTCATTTGATTAAAAACAAAGAGCAAAAATCCCTCATCAATACACATTTATTACTTATATTTTCTTGTCTATAGTTTAGCCACTGAGCATCTGAATTCCTATGTGTTTGCAGGATTCCCTGCCCTGCGAGTCTTGGTGAAGGGCAAAGACCGTTTCCTTGTCCCTGTTGGAGCTGAAAATGCCAGACACACATTCAAAGACTCGCTTGCAGCCAGCAATCAGGCCTGTGACCCAGGCGCCACCAGTAGCCTCAGAACGGCTACCACAGAGGCTGCTGAGACGCAGCAGCTGCACATGTCAGAGCTGCCGCGTGCTGACGGGTAATGGCCATTTTGAATGTCACTTTAATGTCACTCAGCAGAGATTATATTATTCTTAAACATGAATAAAATTTATAATTCCAAGATTCCTATTTTGAATTGGACTAAATGAACTGGGACATTTTGAGAGAATTCATTTGATTAAAAACAAAGAGCAAAAATCCCTCATCAATACACATTTATTACTTATATTTTCTTGTCTATAGAGCATATTTTTTCTTTTCTTTTCTTTTTTACTGATAACTAATCACTTCTATTTATTCAGGACATAAGATACTTTTTATACCCATAGATGATACTATGTTAAAACCCTATTTAAAAACTCATAGGGTATTTTATTTTTGCAAAGATAGGTTCTAAAATAAAAAAACAGAGAGATTAATAACAATACACATAAAAATTAGATTAAAATCTAGGTCATGGCTCTCATTCACTGTCCTGGCATTAAAGATGTTACAAAGATATGCACATAGAATGCTCCCAAATATCCCAACTTTTATAGATATAGATGCAGTCAAAAAGTCTTTCTCTGATTTTAGCAAAGAGAAACCATCCAAATTTTATTCTTTGACTACTGAATGATTTAACTTTGGTACATGCATTACTATTTCTCCTACTGTAGCACATTTTAGTTTTCTCAAGGACTTTCCCCCGACTTCTGGAAATAAAGAATTTCCAACCTTCAAATTAAAATGTTATTCTGATCAATATATGTATCAGGTTGGTCTATTCACATGTAGGCTTTCCATTTTCAGGCTAAGCAAAGACATGCATTTAATGCTTTATTAACATTATTATACAAAAGACAATCCAACCTAATATGAAGAGAAATTGTGACCTTCTAATCAGTGTTTGATATAGAAAAATATTGAGTTTGACTTATCTTTTTAAAATTCAAATGCCATTCTGATCACTCATGGTTCAAGAACATTCAAATAATAAACCAAAAATAAACAAATGTTAAAGATTAGTCTTCAAACATTATGCCAAGGATGCCACCCTGGCCCGTGATCTTGCCAACAAAAAACCACATCCGCACCTCTGGCCTCCAAACCACTCAGCAGAGCTTCCTTAACTGTGAGCTGTTTGAAGCTTCTAGTTTGAGTGCTACTATTTTTTCAAACTTTGAATATCTGTAGGGATCTCAGCAGGGGCTGAAGAAACCAGCTCAACCTTGGCATAGTGCCAAAATGTGGCCAATTGAGGCTCCGAGCCCTGTGCCAGGGCCTTCTCCGGGAGGTTACAGACACACTGGGCCATGGCTCTAGGATGGGAAGTCTGTGGCCTCGAATGAAACATTTTTTCTTCATGGCATTCAAATTAAGAGGTTAAAATCAATGTAGTAAAAATGGTATCTTATAATATACTTAATAAGATTATATGACTTCAAATACTAAAGTTTAAAATTTTAGATATTTTCACATCGGCCTGCAGACTGAAGGGTCCCTGGTTTGATTCGGTCAAGGGCACATGCCTGGGTTATAGGCTTGATCCCCTGTAGGGGGCGTGCAGGAGGCAGCCTATCAATGAGTCTCTCTTGTCATTGATGTTTCTCTCTCTCTCTCTCTCTCTCCTTCTCCCTTCCTCTCTGAAATAAAAATAAATAAATCAATAAAAATACCTGCATATCAAAATATATTAAAATTAATTTTAAAGATATATGTATAACAGAAAAGAATTGATAGCTTGGAAGTGATCTTTGAATAACACTAAAAGTAATTATTTTCTTTTCTGCCTATTCGACCCAATAGTAGAGAGTTATTGTCTCAGCGAGTCTAAATGAGTAATGTTAATGGGGTCTACTCACTTACGTGCTTTTTTGTTGTTTTTGGAAATTTTATGACATATACAATGATAAGCAAAATTAGATTGACAGGAGAGTCTTCACTTCTAAAGGGAAACGGAAAGTGCTGGGTGTTCGGTTACCTTCTGCTGTGCCATGCTGGTTTGATTGACAATACAGCCAACACTATCACCATGTCTCATCCCTAGGTGCTTGTATTCTTATACAGCAACACCTCTTTTGGATGTTGCCTTTTTTTCTGATATTGGCCAGAAATTCAGAAGAATAAAATTGACCTCGTGTCTTTTTGACTGTTAGGTAACACCAAAGGCTTGCTCTCCCTCCTCATAACCCATGACATGGCACTCTCAAACACTGAAGGATGTTCAAAACATAGATATAATTAGCATGCTCCAAACGTTCTTCACGTGCTACTGATATTATAAGAGCTGCCAGGGCCAGGGGTCAAACCTGCAGCCAAGGTACATGGCCTTGACTGGGAATTGAACCCATGACCCTTCACTCTAATCACTGAGCCAAACCGGCCAGGGCCAACACAATTTTCTTGCAGAAAAGGCATTTGGCAAAAATCTAACAACATTACATCAGTGATTTTCAACCAGTGTGCTGCAAGAATTTTTAAAACATACACTACCTAACTAGTCAGGAGCACTGATCTCTTTTCCCTTCGATTGTCAAATAAAAAAAATGACAACAGCCAACACAACAATAGCTGTCCAGTGTGTGAATCAAAATTATACCCATTTTTGTCAGATCACCAAAAAGTATATATTTTGGGTGTGCTGCAGAATTTTATAATTAGTTTATGTGTGCCATGAGATGAAAAAGGTGTCCTATCATGTGACCACACAATTTTGTGGGGAAAATTAAGCAAAAAGAAAAAGAAAAGAAAGAAAAAGGATTTTTCTTGGTTCTAAAAATCAATGTTGAGACCTCCCAGTGCTTAACCACAGGCTGTGTTCTTACACTGCCTGCACAGAAAGAGGAGGCAGAGTAAACTCACCCCATATACACCTCAGCCCAGGCCCTTTGCCTGGTCAGTATTGTGAATGGCCAGATTGTTTGCGGGGGCGGGGGAGGATTTAGTGTTTGACCAAAGTCTAGAATTAGCAAGAGAAGAATCTGACTGGC